TGTGTGTGACATGCCTGGGGGCTGGCTTTGACATGGCAGGCTGAACCGCAATCATGTCCAGATTTTTTGTGACCGTGCCAGATTTTTACCTCTTCTCATGGGTTACATTTCACACTTCGTGCATGTATCCGACTTCAATCCCGCCCTGATAATGTCAAAAGAACTGTTAAGTGACCACACCAGATCTTGGGAGGTGCAAAAGCAAACGAAAAATTAGCTCCAGCAAAAGGTACCACTTTCCACTGGGACTAGCATGAACTGTTGAAATGGAGACCAAAGTTTGAATTAGATGCAGTCGTGTGAGCGGAACAAAAGAACTATGAATTACTAGTACCTGAGGACTCTCAGTCCACAAGGCTGGGCAGGCATTTGTCCCTTTCCCTTTCGTAGGAGGTAAAAAAAAAAAAGAAGAAGGTATGGAGCGAACCAACAGCCCCTAGTCTGAAACTTTTCCTTCCACGGAATCGCTGCGGTTTTGCACCCATTTTCCCTCGGCCCACGGGCACCATCTTACGCAGCATGATTCTTCCTTTGAGTATTACTTTGTAGATGTGGATGTGGATGCGGATGTGGATGTGAAGGGATAACAAAGCCATGACCTTATGTTCATGACTTCTTTCGATGCTGCAGACCATCATTCATCTGACCAGCAAAGTCGAATGGGAAAAGAACATGGACTACCTACGCACCTTGCTATTACAGCCGTAAATTCCAGAGCTTGTGTTGGAGACCTTTCTCTTCTCCCTCCCAGTCTGTTCCCCCTTCAATTTCCCCAGGCCTTCTCCATGTATCTTTTTTTTGCTGTTTTCCACCCACAGTGTGTGACTACGCAAACCAAACTTATGTCTCCGAGGCACCTGAAGACAAACCGACGTAACGGTTGTTGACTACCAGTACTGCCTTCTGAAACCTGTCTCTGGAACCTGAGATTTCGGTTCCGAAAACTGTCCCCCAAATGGGCCAAATGGGCCAGATCTGGGCTTTGAGATCCAAATCTTTCTCCCAAACCTGAATTTCGTCGGGGCCCAAAGGCTGTTGTTCGAGCTTTGGGTTCCCAAAGCTCTCTCTGAAGATGATCTTTTTTTTTTGTGTGCGCTGTGATGTGCTGTGTCATGCCTGAATGCTGAAGAAGAGGAATATGATGGATATCCATTGGGGGAGACCTGCTAGTATAGCACGTGGAAGTTGGCGCCGGTCAAGTAGGGTAGTGTAGGCCGAGAGGCAGTGGCCCCCCGGGCAGACAATGTCAGACACGGCTCATGCAACTGTTGTAAGAACTCATGCAGCTGTAAGGGAACATGATACCTGTTTTCCAGCAGGTGACCCTCCCTACCAACAATATACAGGAGCCGGGCAGAGGACTGCTAGGCATGGCTGCTCATATCATCACTCCAAGCAGGCCCAAGACTGCTACTTTCCGGCACAAAAAAAGGAAAAAAAAAAAGAAAAGAAAAAAAAGAAAAAAAAAAAGTTGGATTCCAGAAGTCATCTCCTGAACCTGACCTTTGGCTTGCAGAACGCTATGTCCCCTGAGCCTGAGCTTTGGGTCGCAGTAGCCGTCTTCCAAACCTGTGCGTCGGGTTAAGAATATACCTGACTCCCAAACCTGATCTTTGGGTCCCAAGTGTCCCAATTTCCCAAAATCTATTCCCCAAACCTGTGCTTCGGGTTCTAAAAGCTGTCTCCCAAACCTAAGCTTTTTTCTGTTCCAAAAAAATCTGCCTCCTGAACCTGAGCTTCAGGTGCCGTTGATGCTCTGGCTTGTAAATCTGTTTCCTGCTGAGCTGCAGTCTTCCGTAGCAGAGACTTTTTCGCCCACATGACTGAACGCATCTTGCATTGGTCCACCACAAGAAGAACCTGGCTAAGCTGTTGTCCCCATCCGTGAGTACAGAGTACAGACCAATCTGAGAAGACGAACCCAATAGGTCCGTCATATTCAAGAATCTTTGCTGCGGTTACTTTTACAAGTCACTTCGTGACCATTTAGGAAAATACACCACCGCATGAAGCAGTTTCGGGGATGCCTTGCCCTCCGCTCATGGATACCCTCGGGCTGGACGACTTAGGTGCTGCAGACATCATTAAATCCCATGTACTCTCCGTGCTTGTACATGTCAAGCACCTCCAACCCGCCAAAGACTCCTGTACCATGCCAAACACACGAAAAGTCACAGGTGAGAGAGAGAGAGAGAGAGAGAGAGAGAGAGAGAGAGAGAGAGAGAGAGAGAGAGAGAGAGAGAGAGAGAGAGAGAGAGAGAGAGATCTGCCTTCACTTCTGAGGGTAAGCCTGTAAACAAAGAGACTGGTGCTCCGAGAAGGCGTTTGTGGCTGGTAAAACACAAATGTACTTGGCTGCTCAGCTGCTGGCGCGATGGCATCGATGCCTGCTCAGAGTACGGCATTGATTTGTCCTTTTTACGGTGAAGTTGTGTTAAACAGATAAAATTGGAATTTTTTTTATGGTCCTGCTGTGCTCCCATTCCCATCTTCCACAAAGACAACACCATGCAGTCCAACTATGTGTACATACAAGCTTTCTTTCTGGTCTGGTACAGTTGTGTTGAGGGTGCACGGAGTTCAGGCGAAGACGGAGGGAGGGTGCACGGACAGCAGAGGGGACTGCATTGTGTAGAACTTATTAGATCTCTGATTTCAGCGAGGTGGAATGTGATGGTGATTGATTACTGTATCTAAAGATTAAGGACATACTCTTTTTGAGTCTTCCCCCCCCCCATCCCCCCCCCAAGAAAGATGCTTTATTATTTATACAAAAACCGGGAGGCGGGCCCGGCGGGCCTTATGAGAACAGCAGCCCGGGTTCTGGATCCGGCGACTGCGGCTGGATTCAGATCCAGATTGCAGAAAATGTTCATCCTAAGTAATATCGCCAGCAATCACCAATCACGCCAACAACCCGTAACCCATCCTACAACCAAACAGGTAGCAAACAAAAAAAAACAGCTACACAGTTACAACCAAACAGACACAACTAAACAGTCATAGAGAAAGATATGAAGAATGCAAACACTAAAGACAGAAAAAAAAAAAAAAAAGGAGAAACAGAATCTCATGAAAAAAAAGATGAAAAGGTAAACTCCGGTACAGACTGCTGTTGCTCAGAAACCCTAAACCAGATCTAGAAACCGCATCCAATGAGAAAGGACCTGATTCATTGGTTTAGTCCTCCGGTATCCTTTACTCTCACCACCTTTTTGTGTGTCCAATCTGTAGCAATAGCCAGCTTAATATTTCACTTGACCTCCGCTCGTATCATTGGGGGGGTAAGCCTTTCTCCCCTTCTGACTGCGAAGTTTCTGACAGTCAAAAGAGGCCAAAGCACGGCACCCCACAATGTCTCCTTACTACGGTAGGAGGTTCCGGAAAGGGAGGGACACAGTCACACACCATGCAGGACCTTTGCATCAGAAAAAGAAAAGATCCAAAAAAAAAAAAAAGGGAAAAAAAGTGCTTGGATGTAGGACGGATGTACAAGAAAGAAAGAAATGCAAAGAATTGGTCTGCCAGATAAAAAGGGGGAAATTTTCCCATTATTTGAGTTCTGCCCCTCAAACAGCCGGCTTGCACTGGCATCCCCCACGAACCTGGTATCGTTTCCACAGGCACCTGTCGGAGGGCGGGGCAACTTCACTGCAAGCCCGATATTGGTAGAGGTAAATTGCAGTTTCTGTCCAAGCTCAGAACGACCATATGTACTGGGGCATCCCGAAAAGTGAACGGGTAACGGTAGGGGCATATTGAAAAGATGTGACGCCCAAGCGACTGTGGTTTTGCAAAGTTGAACAGCCATCCGAGGGCATAGCAGTGTGCGCCGGATGTTCAAGGGGCAGAACACAAATAAACGCAGCTTTGAGGGGCATAATGAAGACTTTCCCAAAAAATGGACACTGGTCTTCCAAATGCTTGGGGGAAAGTCCAACCCTCTTGGCTCAAGCTTATTCTCAGAAGTAGAAAAAGTGCATCCGGATTCTGAAATGCCCAGCTGCGAATTTGCGAAACAACAAATAGTAACCACTGTGGCTGTATGACAGCTGCATAGTCCACATAGCAAGCACCTATCTACATAGTATCCAGTGAACTATACCTTAGGACCAGGCCCCAATGGTGCTACTTCGTGCTCAGACAGCATGAACCTGATCGTAAAGCCTGCCATATCCGTGCCAGCACTGACACAGCACAATACTGGCCTAGTACCAGTAGGGAATGGCCCTTAGGATTCATTGAACTATATCTAAGATGAGCCATCTTCAAGGAGGATCTCTCCAAGCCTGCAGAACAATGCCCTGGAGTGCCTCCTGCACCTCATCCTTCTCCTCTTTGTCTTCCTCCATGTACCCGTTATTCTCCTCTTCTCCTCTTCTCCTCCTCCTCCTCCTCCACCTCGGTCTCCTCCTCCTCCTCCTCCTTGGCCTTCTCCTCCTCGGTCTCCTCCACCTCCTCCTGCTCCTTGGCCTTCTCCTCCTCGGTCTCCTCCTCCACCTCCTCCTTCTTGTCCTCCTCCTCCTCCTCCTCCTCCTCCACCTCCTCCACCTCGGTCTCCTCCTTCTCCTCCTCCTCCTCCTCCTCCTCTTTGTCTTCCTCCTCATATCCTCCTCCTCTTCTGCTCGTCCTCCTTCTCCTGCTCCCCCTCCTCCCCCTCCTCCTCCTCCTCCTCCTCTCCTCCTCC